TGAGGAAGGATGCTGAGTACTCTTGTCATCAACGTAGATAACAGCGACGGTATCAACGATGATATCAATAAGGCGTTCTTGAAATTCTTGAATTGGTTTCACTTCTATTCTGTCTACATGATCCATTTTGCCATTTATTTCTATTTCATTATTTGTGTTGATGAGATTGCCGAAATCGATGTCCCCTTGTGCTCCAAGATCGTTATGCGATACAAAGCATTCAGCATCCAATGATTTATTAGAGGCATTCAAACTGAGTTCTTCCTGGTTGAAGATGGTTATAGTGCTATTCATGCCTGTTTGATTACCTGAGTTATAAGGTTTTGGAAAATCAAAATTCTTTTCTGTTTCTTGATGAAGGTAACTAAATTGATTTTCATCAGTGAAAAGGTACACATCTGTGGGATTATTATCGAAATCATTTTCAAAAAAGATCGATGTGGTCAGTGTAACTATCAATATGCAAATTAAGATGGTTGTTATCAAAAGCTACGTTAGAAACTTGGAGGAAATCGGTGTCATTGTCTATATCCACTGCAAAGGAATCGTTATTAAATTCATTAATATCAGCATATGAATCATGGAAATCTATATTATGTACCTTCTTTCCGGCATTAAAGTTGTGTTCATTACGGTTAATGGTGTTTTCATCATCACTTTTCCGAGTTTTCTCTTCTCTTCGAGGAAACAAAATGAAAGCAGTCGTAAAACAAATAAGTATGCCCAATAGGCTGTCGATAAACGGTGTTGGTATAAAAACGTAACACAGTACTGTCAACAAAAAGAAGCCCATTTCTAAAAATGGCCCCAATTCGATTTCAGCAATAAAAATAATAAATTTAAGCAAATAAGATCCACATGTAAGATTTTAGCACCACTAGATTTGATATCTCTAATGATTATGGTTTTTAAGCATTGTTAAAAAAGTATTCATTAACTTTGTTGTAATTCAACAAAAGCCCAAAAACAATTATTGGTAACTTGATTGTTACAAATCTTATTAAAAGGATTCTTTGAATATGTAGCAATGAAAGATCTTCCGATATATAATTCATAATAAAAAGGAAGTTTCTGTGTGTGTGTCTTTCGTTCATGCTGCCTGTAAGCTAATAGACACAGGCCCAAGAATTTGGTACATAGGTGCATCTAGGCAAGAGCCAGTGTACCTCGAAGCGAGTTTTTCAAAATTGGAATGAGTTTTTTTATCTTATGTTTTTTGATTAAATCGCATCAAATCGCTAATTCTCTCTCATTATATCAGCAATAATGCTGTTGTATCACTGTTGCCATTGTTGATTGTATCAGAACTGTTGCCACTCGGAAAGATTAAGGCAAAAATTAGCGTTTTAAGAGATTTTAATTAATATCTCTGATTTTTGCTCTTTTCTTGGATAAAAGTGGAAGCGGAAAAGCGGACAAAAGAACGAACGCTTAACCTTTAACTGCTGTGAGCGGTCTCTCAGACCGCGCGACATTTTCCATCAAATGCTTCCACTCCTTAGAATAATTAATGGCTATTGCCATTCTTAGTACCTTCCTAAACCAATTGTCCAAAGTCACATAACAAGTTGCATTTGGCTTACTTTTTGAAATTTTCCCTTTTCAGCGGTCTGTGGGAACGATCACAGCAGATACGATTCAAATTTCGGCCGATAAAGTTCACTTTTCGTGGTTGTTACATATTTCGCTTTTTTTAAATATTCTTGAAATAGCTTCAAATGCGTGCAGGAAACGTTCTATATATCTTACCCAAGACCAAATTGAATAAATAGTTCGAAATTGGTCTAATTTAGAGTTCTCTGATAAAAGTTCTCATGATGAAATTATTGAGAGCGACCACGACACTAATTCAGAAATATATGCCGATGGAAATGAAAATCCATGTTCTCCTTCTACAAAAGATGTTTTTATTGGCAACAATGAATTCAGATGGTCTATTCAAGATCCCAACAAGGGTATTCGAACTCGTAGCCACAATATTATTCTTCGTTCAATCTATTCAACTGCTCTTCGAACCCGACGTTGGCCTATGACAATATTCTTCAGAAACTTGGATATCTGTGCAATAAATGCATTCGCAGTATTTCAATCTTATCCCATTGGCTCCGAAAATGAAACGAAAGATTTCATTAACAATTCAGTTGGTGGAATCTCATGTAAAACGGAGGATAACTTCATCATTTTTACCTAAAGAACTCAAACTTACAATAAGAAGAGTTTTCGGAATAAATGATGAGGAAGGAAACATTGCGATTGAAGACGATAAATTAGATAAAAAAAGAACGTGCTAGATTTATCCACCGAGCAAAAATAGGAAAACAGCTTACAAATGTATAGCATCCAAAGAACCAGTGTGTCTCTACATTTCAGTAGAAAAATATGTATAAAATGCAGCTCGAATTGTAATTTTTAAAATAAGAATTAATCTTCTATATTCTTATTAAAGCATTCTTATCGCAAATTTTAATGTAAAATAAAAAAGTTGAATTTTAAAATTCACTTCTTCTATCCAGATATGTATGCGAAGGAATCATTATCATAGTATATATTTTATTTTAATGAACTGATTTAAGTATAAAAATTGCTTTATACCTTCATGACAAAGTTAATTATATGAAATTAAATAACGTTTATTCAAATTAGAAAAATAAAACAATATCTTATATTGTTTTTAGCAGAAGCGGTCTGAGAGACCGCTCACAGTAGTTATGCAACAATTTAAGTCACAGTAGTTAAAGGTTAACTACCGCTGCCATAATTATTCAAATAAATATGTTTTTTCAGTTTCTTGTGATACAAAACATAAACGTAATCCTCATACATACATATATATATATATATATACCAAAGATTATTATTATTAAAACGAAAATACTTTCAAAACTTGATGTTTTCCCGGTTTTATCAGTGCAAAGCACAGAAAATCATGTTTACCGTACACTCTCATGGAAAGCGTTTCTTATACCTTTGGCTGGGTGAAAAGGAATTCAAATATAAACACAGTACAAAATATATAAAAATGTTTTTAATTTTTTAATAGGCACCCATTTAAGATAAAATCAACTGATTAGCGTAAAATTAGCTTACGTTATATTATTAGTGGGAATGTGTTCATGCCTAGGAAGGCCTTTAAATGATAAGCTCAACAATATGCTTCCATACAAAACCATCACAAGAGACAACATTCTGACATCATACCAGGCGACGACATTTTATACGACCATCATAACAAACATTCTGAACGTGGAAAACCGAGTGAATAGAACATAACGTTTCAATTCTCTACATTCCTCAATAATAAGATATAATAATTTGAGTCAACATGGAGTGTTCAGAACGCCTACCTTATTAAGGGATTCAGCGAATGGATTTAAGTTAGCTCGTGCGATGGTTACTTTCTCGTCAAACAGATTATGAACAGTAGGAAATGTAGACATTATTTCGCTGTAACAATTCAGTGCCTTTTAGGCCTTTCACATCTACGCATACAGAATCAGAAAACACACTGAGAACTTGAAACCAGCTGCCGTTTTACCTCACTTCGCTTAGTAAGGTAAATAGTTTCCTTGCCCTCACGTGGCGTGGCTTATTTCCCTCCCCTGGCTTCACTTTCTTCGTACTGCAATAGCAGAGACGCCATCTCCATGTATTCTAATCTTCTTGCTTATTAGGTATTTCCATAATGAAATGGCCACCACTTATGGTCCTGGTAATGGTGCGGAATCTGCCATAAAAAAGATAGAGAGAAAGGGGGAGGAATAAAAGCTCTACAACTGACTGACTGACTGATTACGGTTTCTTCAGGTTAATCAATTTATTGCCACATGGGCGCATCCCGTGAGACTGTCAGTACTTTTAAACCCGTAGGTAATAAAGAGGTAGGTAAAAGGGGATCGGAACATCGCGCGGTCTAAAATTCAGTGAATATGAACAGACAAAACGTGGTGAGTATACCATCATAATTTTGTGTGAGAAAGGAAAGCAAATACGAAAAATACAATAGTACTTTACAATATCAAGACTATATGCAATATTTACACTGTGTACATGTAGTTACAAACCAGTAATCCTAAATAGGAAAATTCGAGTCTTTGGCCGAAGTTAAGCATTTAACTAAAATTACTGAAGGGAAATCTAATTACATCCCAGTATATTATATTAAAGCTCCTCGTACAGAGGACGGTAAGAAAATAATGCATATTGAAAAAATTATTGGCCTCTGGGTCCGTATAATAAAATATAAATCAAAACCAGGACTTACGCAGTGCTACAACTGCCAGCGTTATAACCATACATAGCGTGCGTATCATAACGAACCTCGTCGTGTACTCTGCGCTCAGAATCATCGCTCGCATCTCTGCCCTTTTAAGGGCACGCAAAATTATGATGTTAAATGTGCCCTATGTCATGAATCACATCCAGCATCCTCTATAACTTGCCCTAGAAGGCCAAGCAACAATCAAAATAATGAAAATCATATCGCAAACCCTGAGAATATTCAACTTTCTGAAATGCAAAATATTGTTAAAAATAATACACGACCTACTAATTATGCCAATGCTCCACAAACAGAAAATAGGCCACGTGACCAAACGAGCCAATCAGAAAATACCGGTACGTATTCTGCAGCTTTAAGAAATACACTAAACAGCAGCAAAACAACCATCCTAACAATATTACTATGAAACCCAGTATAAATAGCAGAAATACTGGAAAATTCGAACGCACCGAAGAAAATCTAAATCAATTTATTATGTTCATGTCATCTATATACGAATTATACGATGACTTTTGCAAAGCGTCCTCACCAACAGAGAAAATGTTGGTTGCTTTTGAAGCGTTAAAGATATATGATATCATTAATCATGACTAGTATAAACCAGATTTACTGCAATTTCAATAGACTTAACTACTCCAAATTTGTTTTTTATAATTGCAATGGCCTTCTCCGTCAACATCTTCAAATTACTCAGTTTATTTTTAATAAAAATCTTGATTTCATGCTCTTAAATGAGACACATCTGAAACCAAACAAAAAGTTCAAAATAGCAAACTACTCTGTTTATAGAAAAGATAGGCTTCATAATATTGGTGAAGGCACAGCTATCATTGCAAAAAATTCAATTAAGCACATAGAATACTTACTGCCTGATTTCAATAGTACTGAAGCGTGCGCTTGTCTCGCTTACAATAATAACCATACCCCTTATTTAATTGTCTCTGTGCATAAACCGCCTCAGAAAATCCTCAACACTGCTGAAATAGAATATATTTGTAATTTAGGTTATCCAACCATTATAGCTGGTGACTTAAATTGTAAGCACCCTGCCTGGAACTCCAGATTCACAAACAGCAATGGTATCAGGCTCTACAATTACATGCTAAATTCTGCAATCAATATCATGGCTACCACTGATCCTACTCACATTAGTTCTCACTACAATCATACTCCTGATGTCCTAGACATTCTCCTTACCTGTAATATTCCACAGATTCCTGACTTAACCAATTTAAAAAAGCTTGATTCTGATCATACTCCTATCATGTTCACCTTATATAATTTCATCCATTACATGCCTCCCAACCCCACCAAAGTCAGTTGGGTGGATTTCAAATATATCCTCGACAATAGCATCTCTGCAACCACTAAAATGACTACTACTAATTTAATTGAAGACACCACTGAGAAACTAAATACTAAAATCCTTGAAGCCATTAATAAAGCCACTTCTAATATTGAGAAAAAAGATTACTCGCTTACTCATCACATAAAAGAAGAAATCAAGAAAAAGAATAGACTTAGAAAAATCTGGCAGAGAACCAGAGATCCCAGAGACAATGCTAATTATAAACGTGCTTATTACCATGTCCAGAAGCTCGTTACAGATCATAAGCAAGACAGATGGAATGACTATGTTGAAAGTCTTTCTCATACTGACCATTCTGAATGAAAACTTGCCAGAAAACTTAGAAATCCTCACAATAAAATTGAGCCTATAGAACATAATAATAAATATATCCATCATCCTGCTGATATTGCAAACACCTTTGCTGATGCCTTTGAAGAGCAGTTTCAGATCAACAACCTCCCACATCCTGCAGATAGCATTATTGAAGACTATTTTGTCAAAAATTTCATACAATCCAATAGGAGTAAAGTCAACACCCCCACCAGTCCCATTGAAGTCAACCAAATTATTAAATCCCTTGATCCAAAGAAAGCCTGTGGATATGACAACATTACTAACAATTCTATTAAAAACCTCCCGAAAAAAGCAGTTATCTATCTGGTAAATCTTTTCAATGCATGTCTGAGAAATAACTACATCCCACAGGCCTGGAAGATCGCCACTATAATTGTTATTAAAAAACCAAGAAAGGAAAGCAAATATACTGCCAGTTATAGACCCATTTTACTTCTTTCATCAATTTCCAAAGTTTTTGAAAAAATCATACAAATGAGGCTGTGTCAATATGCTCAAGACAATAATATCATATCTCCTTACCAATTCGGATTTCGTAAAAAGTATTCTACTACTTATCAGGTTTCCCGCATCGTGGAAAAGATAGGGGAAGCATTTAACAAAAAAGAAACAGTGGCCGCTCTTTTCCTCGATGTGGAAAAGGCATTTGATAAAGTTTGGCACACTGGCTTAATTTATAAATTAATTTATTACAAATTTCCGACGGAAATCATCATACTTATCAATAACTACCTCTCAAACAGATTCTTCCAAGTCAGAATTAAATTATTCAACTAGAAGAAAGATTACTGCTGGGGTCCCACAGGGAGGAAATTTGGCTCCTTACCTCTATCTAATTTATGCCAACGACTTCCCGAATTAACCAGGAACTGAAATTGCACAATATGCAGATGAAACTGCAATTTTCTCCATCTCCTTACCAATTCGGATTTCGTAAGAAGTATTCTACTACTCATCAGGTTTCTACTACTCATCAGGAATAAGTTCTAAATATGCTCAACATGAGCTACAAAAAGCAATTAATAATATGCAAGACTGGCTACAAAAGTGGAAAACTAAAATCAATGCAAGCAAAAGCACTAATATCATCTTCAAACGCAGCAATAAAAGTCCCATATGTGAACAACTTCAATTCAATAATAACCCTGTTTCCAGATCTAACTTAGTTAAATATCTTGGCATCAAACTTGATGCTAAATTAAACTTCAGAGAGCATCTCACCTATATTTGCGAGAATACTAGACAAGCCTACATGAGCAAAATAAGCATTCTAAACTCAGCCTCCAAACCAAAAGAATCATTTACCTCCACACTTATTCGACCAGTTATGCTGTATGGCTCTCCAGTTTGGGCGGCTGCTGCAAAGAATAATAGGAAACCTTTACAAGTCTTTCAAAACAAAATTATTAGAATCATGATTGGAGCACCATGGCTCGTTCGAAATAAGGTTCTCCATCATGACCTCAATATCACTACCATAGATGAAGAAATACTAAAATCTGTGCATAAATTTTATGAAGGTCTTGCAACTCATCCCTCAACCATCATTCAATGTATAGGAAATTACGATTATACAATAGACCAACCTTATAAGCGACCGCGTACTATTCACCATAATGTACGTTGGTAACTCTGTAAATATTCATCTGTATATAGTCACTTTATATTACTTATACTACTCAGGATAACTATTGCTTCAATTTTTGAACTTGAACTTTTGAACTTTTGGAAGCATTAGTTAAGCAACCTATTTAATCAAGAAAATGTTCTTATTTGTTACAAGTATTTCTATTGGTCCAAGGAGGACACACCTACTTATCCAAGTTCATCATATTATTTTATCTATTATGCATCAGTATTCAAAACTGCTATTCTTCCAAAATATTATACTCATCATTATTCAACTTTAATAAATCTGTACCTGTACATAGTCATTAATTACTTAAAAATACGCAAAATATGTATTCTTCAGCTCTTATCCCATCGTCCAACCAACATCATGGAATAGGCCCACGTGACCTACACGACGATTTAAAGAACAACATCTTCCTGTAGTTGATTCTCCTGCACCTAGATGGTGCCACCTCTGCCTACTTTTCTGCTTAGTACCCATCTCAAAATTCCACTTTTTTACTTATGCGACCTCTTTTAAGGACAAACACTACCCCATTAACTAAAGCCTTAAATGGACATTTAAATACAGATCAAGTAATGCACTTTCATTAGTACGGCACTTGAAGACTAAAGCAATGACCTGACCTGACCTGACCTGTGACGGTCCTACGACTGACCCACAACACGAAGAGCAGATCAAAAATGAAATTAGTAGCATCAAAGGCAGTGATTTTATTAAATTTGTTCCACAAGGTGAAATTCAATACATCATTAAAAGACTTGATGTGAGGAAAGCCCGAGGCTTTGACAGGATAAACAATCGAGCCTTGAAAGCCCTCCCTCACAGATGTTTCGTATTACGTGCTAACATTTTTAATGCGTGCATAAGAAACTGCTACTTCCCCTCTCAGTGGAAACACTCTATAATTATTACGATATTAAAACCGGGAAAAAACCCATCGGAAGCTACCAGTTATCGTCCCATCAGCCTTTTATCGGCGATTGGCAAGGTATTCGAGAGAGCTCTAACTCAAGAATCACAAGTCACCTAGAACGCCTTGATTTGGTCAACCCAGCGCAGTTCGGCTTCAGACAGCACCACAGCACGACCCACCAAGTACTTAATGTTGTAGAATTTATTTCCAGCGCTACAGGAGTTGCGGCGTGTTTACTAGACCTCGAGAAAGCGTTCGACAGAGTCTGGCACGACAGCCTGATCTATAAAATCAATAATTTCATGTTTCTCATCAGTTTTGTCAAGCTCATGATTTCTTATCTGAAGAGAAAAACTTTTCAAGTTCGGGTTGGAGATACTCTTTCACAGAAGAAAGTAATACAAAACTAATACAAGTTGTAGTCCCGCAAGGCTCAGTTATCGAACCAAAACTTTTTAATATTTTTATAAATGACTTACTTATTCCATTAGGGTCTAAAACACTAAAATATGCAGATGACACAGTGATTTTGTCGCAATCAAGAAGCCCACAGTTAGCTCTAAAATACCTCCAACACTACGTGAACGTTGTTCGCTGCCTGGTGTCAGCTCTGGAAGGTAAAAATTAATACCTCAAAATGCAATATTGTTCACTTTCGTCGTTACAGGAAAAATGATAGAACAAATAGTGGCATAAAAATTGGAAATGATGTCATCCCAGTCTCTTCGGCCGCTAAATATCTCGGAGTGATTCTTCATGAACGACTTAGCTTTAAAGACCATGTAATTAATCAAGTTAACAAAGCAAATATAGAGCTTACATGTCCCTCTATAATCTCATAGGACGGAAATTTAAACTTAGTTTTAAAAATTAAACGTACTCTGTACCTAGCACTTATTAGACTATTTTTGCTTTATGCAGACCCGGCGTTAAAGACTGAACGAAGGAAAATGAACCTCCTGCAAAATAAAATACTAAGAGCGATGGTTAATGCGCTTTGGTGTGTTAGAAATACGATTATTTATGAAGATTTAAAAAAATAAAGGATAACCGGAGCAGATCCTAATGGATGCTCACAACTTTTTTTAAAAAATGGAGAATTCGCCAGTCAATACTTTGAGAGAACTGATGAACTATGATCCCACTGTGGAAAGCGTCATGAAACGACCTAGGTTAATTCACAACAATGTAAAGTGGTAGCTGTAAATATATGTATAGTTTTATTCAACTTATCTCATTTTATTCAAGTATTTAATCAAGCACATAATCCTAGTATTTATTTAATTATTTAACCAAGATTTATTCCCGTGATTGTGAATTTGTGTTTGTGTTTACTACTAAAAAGATGGACTTAGTGTCTGGACAGGCAAAGACTTAAGTGTTATTTGTTCAAGGTGTAAATAATTGAACTCACCACGCCTACCACTGTGAATCCAATCGTATTGTCTAATACTGGTCACATGATACTCATATCCTGAATTCTCAAGAATTAGACAATATTCTCTCGAATCTCTCACTAAGCAGTTTCATGTTCTTCAATCAGGACTCAGATGATTTTTATGACTTAAAAATTGAAATTTTTGCTATTATGTTAGTGTACGCGCCACCTTGGCTTGCCACCTTAAAGCTCTGATTGCTTGATCTCTCAGAATCTTATTTTCGCCAGGGACGAACAGTTACAACCGTGCCTTCTTCGGGATTCGAACCCATGTCCTTCGGTATCGCAATCAGGCTTCCCCAAACACACTACCGACTGGGCGGCTTTGAATGATTAACATAGAAAAGAGGAAATTCCAAAGCTTCGAATAGTTGTAGAACTTCGTTCATTAACATAATACTTCATTTCTGAATCAAGTGGTTGGTAATTTCTTTTGGAAAAAAAAAATTAAAAATGTCTTGATTTGTAGAAAAACAGAGGAAAGAAAAATAATACTTGATGAGTGCGGAAGATCTAAAGAATGATCTACATAAAATATTTTTGATTTATTCTCTGTCCTCTCTGATTTGCAGATAGTCAACATTTTCGCGTTATTACAATACTTTTGTCTGCAAATTGGAGTATAACTACGTAATACATCTGTAAAAGTAAGTTTCTGGAAGCCAGTAAATACTATTATATTTGTGTATTCATGATAAAAGCATAATGTGCACTTTCTTTAATTTTTTTTTAAAAGAAAAAAACTTACTATCACAAAAGAAGACTATACGGGTACAATTTTTTCCTCTGCAAAATTTCTCATTTGTACCATCCCAATATCATTCGCCCGGTGTTCGCATTCAGAATTAAGCAGCACCCCGTCATTGAGGCAAAGCTGTATAAAATTAAACAAGAAATTTCTCAAGAGATGTAATATTTGTCGGAGACGTATATTTTCTTGGCTAATATTCTTTTTAGACAGTTTAGATAAAGTGACCAGA